TTTCCAAGTGCTGAGACTACAGGCATGAGTCATCACAGTGAGCTCAAACAGGACTATCTGTCTGCCATTCTTTCTTCTTTCTTTTTTCTTTTCTCTTTTCTTCTTTCTTCTCTTCTCTTCCCCTCCCTCCCTCCCTCCCTCCTCCCCTCCCTCTCTGCCTTTCTTTTCCTTCCTTCCTTCCTTCCCTCCCTCCGTTCCTCCCTCCCTCCGTCCGTCCCTCCCTCCCTCCCTCCCTTCCTCCCTCCCTCCCTCCTTCCTATTTCTAGGTCCTGGATCCCCAGGACCTCCATAGCCTAAGCAAGTACTCCAACACTGAGTCACATCTACCATCTCCACCACCTGCCTGTTTTGACCCTACTATCACAGTTACCTTCTTTAGTAATACAACAATCCATGCTAAAAGAAGGTGAACACTGTTTTCAATATTACTTTACTTCATAAGGAATTCTTTTCATGTTGAGACTCACTTAAAAAAATGAAAGAGCCGGGCGGTGGTGGCGCACGCCTTTAATCCTAGCACTCGGGAGGCAGAGCCAGGCGGATCTCTGTGAGTTCGAGGCCAGCCTGGACTACCAAGTGAGTTCCAGGAAAGGCGCAAAGCTACACAGAGAAACCCCGTCTCGAAAAACCAAAAAAAAAAAAAAAAAAAAATGAAAGAACTCAAAATTGCCTGCAACAACTAGGTCTCTTTTACTCTAAAACCTCATTTTCCAGCTCTAGTTCTTTTTTTAAAATGTTTTTGTTTATTCTCATTTTGCAAAACATACCTGAGATTATTAGGATTACTAAAAGGAAGATGGTGACTATTCATTTCTTTATTTATTAGAAAGTAAACAATCCTAAACATATAAAGCGTGGGAACTTCTAAAGATATCTCCACCTCCGTATTCTTTGGAGGAAATGATTTTTGTCTATTTTAAACAATGACACTGAACACAATTGAGAGCTGGCCAGTGTTCAGTAGCCGGTGTTTTCCTGGTGGTGTGAACCTACAGTGTGTTCCTTTAAAGTAGACTTCTCAGAATCATTTTCATCTGTAGAACATTAGAGTTTCCTATATGATATTCTATATGTAATATGCCTGGGCATGAAGGATTTTTATTTTAATTTAAAAGTGAAGGAATGGTGAAAAACATTGTCTTGAGCTGTTTTGGATTGTGACTGGCTACAGGAAATAAACAAGTGGCAGATTACACAGCTAATATATAACATGTTTGACTTTCATATCCCTGGGAGTGTATCTCAAACGTTAAAAAAGATAAGAAGCCAAATGGTAAAAGCAAAAAACAAACTAATAAAGTATGTCTCTAAGTTCTGAGTTATGCAGCCAAAGGGAAAAACAAAACACTTAACAACATTTTAACGTGAGAATTATTTTTTAAAAAATATTCTAGCTTTTACCAGATCCACATGGCTCTCCTGTGGGCACAGTGAAAATAGAGAAAGGAAGCAGAAAATTAGTGAAAGGTAGTTCTTCTCCCTTGTGGGTGCAGGGTGGAGAGAGAGCCTTCACACCCCCAGGGGATGAACCTCCTTTGTGGGTGCAGGGTGGAGAGAGCCTGCATACCTTTGGGGGATGAACCTCTCTTGTGGATGCAGGGTGGAGAAAGCCTGCATACCCCTGGGGGATGAACCCTGCATTATTTTAACATACAGCTCTGCCTCTGAGCAGTTCTGGTAGGATTATATCCTTGGTCTTGGGGTTAAAGAAGGGTGACCATTCACTGGGGCTTTGACATAGTTCCACTTGCTCAGAGTAGGTTTCTTTAAAATGTGTTACATAACTACAGTGATTAAGGAATGTTCTCTGACTATCAACCTTAGTTCCTGCCCTGAAAATCTCCAATTAGGCAGGCACTAGGGGGCCTGGAGGAAGGTAGTGGCTGGATAGATAGGATCAGTATACATTGCACAAGTGTATGAAATATTCAAAGAATAAAACTATCAAAAAGAACAAATTAAAGAACTGACAGCACATTTCTGATCTTTTTCATGAGTGAACAATAATATACCACAGGAGCTGAGGATTAAAATGCTCAAGTGAACACAAGTCATGATTTAACACAAAGCCACTGCAACCTGTTAGATAATTTTCACGAGACACTCTTTTGCATATGCTTTCCTAACATTAATCCTTAACGATTGCGCACAATTTATAATAAGCAATGTTTTCTCTTGAAAATACATGTGCTTCAAAAACATGTACATACGCATATTTACAAATAATTATATACACGTTTCCTTCCTATCTTTAGTTTTTTAAATATTTATTTTTATTTATGTGTTTGTGTGTGACTAGGCATACATGTGAGTGCCCAAGGCCAGAGAAGGAGTGCCAGATTCCCAGAAGCCGGAGTAACAGGAAGCGGTAAACTACTCAATTGTGGGTGCTGGGAACCAAACTCCTGTCCTCTGAAAGATTAGTGAGTACTTTAACCACTGAGCCATCTCTCCAGGCCCCTCATATGCTTGGTTTTATTTTAATTAGTTAATTATTTTGAGGCAGGATCTTACTCTGTAGCCCAGGATGACTTTCAAGTCACAGTGATCTTCCTATTTCAGCATCCTTCATGCTAAAATTCCAGGTGTGAGCCACCATGCCTAGCTCATTTTATTTTTAATAGAAGAGATGGATTTTATAAGGATATAAACATGTTCTAAGACACTAATTACTGCTGTGGAATAATCCTTCTGTACACTGTGTAAATCATGCTGTGATTGGTTTAATAAAGAAGGTACCTGGCCAATAGCTCGATAGGATAAGGTTGGTTAAACAGAGACTCCTGGCATCACCAATCTACTTCAAAAAAGATGATGGGCATCGAAGAACCTCCATATAGAGTTTGCTTTATTTATGGCAAAAAGCTTTTGTTGTATATAATTTTACTCTGTTAAAGTTAAAACCTTCCTTTTTCATTTGGACAAAAAGGGGGGAATGCTGTGGAATAATCATTCTGTACACTGTGTAAGTCACACTGTGATTGGTTTAATAAAGAAGCTGACTGACCAATAGCTGGACAGGATAAAGTTAGGTGGGAGAGCCAGACAAAGGACTCTGGGACAAAGAAAGGTGGAGTCAGAGAGTCGCCAATGAGACATGGAGAGCACTGATTCTCTTTTTAATTTCTGGAAGTTCTATGATGTGTGTGTGTGTGTGTGTGTGTGTGTGTGTGTGTGTGTGTGTGTGTGTAGTTTTTACTTTTTAAAAAAATATATATATATAATGCAATGCCAATCTGGTATTGCTGCCTATGTTAAGTACTCTACCTGGCATTTTCTGTTTTTTCAGGTCTGAAGTTTATCAGTTTTGAATAATCAACAGAGAGTTTTTAATCAAACAAGAAAGCCAGATTTAGACACGTTAAATTCTTCTTACAGTCCTAATTTGGTAGACAGATTTAATTGTGTGGTTCGCCTTTGTTTTTATTTTTGTTACATCCTTTACAGGTGCTCACGCTATAACTCCTGGCTCCCACAAGCCTAGGCTTGTTTGTCTCTAATTCTTGGAGGTCATGGAAACATAAGCAATCATACTTCCCTGGTTTTACACCTTTCATTAAAATTTGGAAATTCCTTTAATTTTTTAAAGTTCTGCTGTGCATGCAATTTCATAGTTTACCCCGTGTAACTGGGTTACAATGGAAGGTTCTTCAGGTTAACCAGTCACCGTATTGTATCAATTCTCTACATGCATACACAGATGTGCACATGAAGAGGTACACCTTTGAAACTTGGAGAGTCCTTTCCACCACTACGCTGAAACATGCATTTTAAACAGCTGTGCAGAGACTGTCAATGAGTTAATACATCAACCAGTTGGCACTGTCTGTGACAAGGCTGAGAACATTAGGGCTTATTTCTACTGTGCTACCTTAGGCTTTCATATCAGATACACAGAAATACAGAGAGATGCATGTGTAATTTCACCTACTGGCAAAAAACATATTATTTTTCTAGGCTGCATTTCATTCATTACAGCGAAAATGAGAGAAAACAGCAAGCTTTTAAAAGTTTTTAAGTCTTGTAGGCTTGTTTTGTCTCAACTAGTAGCAGAATTATACAGGAGAACTTATAATTCACCGAAAGGAAAGAGAAATTTGAGTTGCCCTAAATGGTCTAATAATTTTGACAAGAAAACAACAAAAACAAATATTAACTAAAGTCGACTGTCAATTATTCCAGCAAGATGCCTAACACACAAGGAGCAGCTGAGATGGCCGCCTCCAGGAACGGCTCAATTTTGTTCTTATGGTGTGAAATATAGAATAAGTCATTCTACAAAACAAATCCTTAGAAAAGTCTGCCAGCGTGGAAATAAATCTACATTTGTCTGAGTTTTTTTTTTGGGGGGGTGGGGGGGTCCTTACTATAAAGGCATTGGAAAAGTTGTTATCACTCCAGTGTTTCCTTTAGTCTCACTTTCCTAAGGAGTCCCCACTTGTCCCCTGTTTCAGGCTGTCACCCACTCCTTCTCCCCGCTGTACTGCCCAGCCACTCCTTTGTCTTGGTCTGGTTTGTATCCAACAGCATCTCTCCCTTCTACTCCGCTGTTAGTAACAGATTTGCTCTGTTTCTCTTACTAGGAAGGAAAAGGGATCTTGCTATATTTTATTTGCTTACATTTATTATATATTTATTTCTTCATATGTATACATACAGCTGCCAACAACCAGAATGGCATCTGTGAATAAGTAAAAAAAAAAAAATGACTTGCTTGTGGAATAATTTTTATTTCGTTGCCCTTTATGTCTTTCCTGAGATACATGTGTGCAAATGAGATACATGTATGCCACATGCGTCAAACTGCCCCAAAAGAAGGCTGTCACTCATAGAACAATACCAATTGTCATTTTCTGGAGGTAAGAGTGACCTTGCCACTTAACGTCTGTATTCCATTTTATACGAATATTTTCTAGGTGTGTGATGATCTCATGGACTCCAGATCTCTCCCATAGCAGGAGCCATGTGTATAACATTCAGAACTGGGCTAAACATCATACCTCATTTTTCTCCTTGAGTTTGGTGATCATGACAATCACGGGGCTGTCTTCCTGCCAAACCATCTGCCAGAAGTCATTCACAGTGTTGATCATGGGGCCCTGCGTGGCAATGAACGCTTTCTCCTTACCACTGTAGCCCTATGTGGAGTAAAGAGACAAGCATATTAGCTCATGTTTATGGATTGCAGTGGACATTTGGGATGGTAGTGGTGGGATGGTCTTTAGGATAATGGAGTTGTGGTAGTTCAAAAGCAGATGCCTTGATACCAGCACCACCAAAGCATATATATGGCACTTCCCAGAAAATCCAGCTCACCATTTGGCAGTGAGGGTTGTAAAGTTCAGTTTTACAGAGTGTGCACATGGAGCCTGTACTCAGGGACTCACAGCCAAGGAGGACTCACAGTACAACCCCTATCACCAGTGTTGATGTGACTATAACATACATACACAAAAACACTAGCAATTTTTTATTTTAATTGAAACATATGGTATCAAGATGGGTGATATTTTATTTGTGCTCTAACAAATAAAACTTGCCTGGAGATCAGAGGAAAAAGTCAGCCACTATACTAAATATAGAGATCAGGCAGTGGTAGCACACACCTTTAATCCTAACATTTAGGAGGCAGAGATTCATTCCAATCTCTGTGAGTTCAAGGCAGAACTCTGGGAACAGAGCCAGGCATGGTGACACATGCCTTTAATCCCAGCACTAGTTAACCATAGAGGTCTGAAGGTCTACACAGACAGATAGGAAGTGATAGAGCTAGGCGGAAAGAGGAAGTGACATAGCTGGGTGGAGAGAGGAAGTAAGATGGCAGGGCACAAAAAGGTAGACAGGCATGAGTATACAGGAAGTAGCTCTCTTGGGCTGAGGATTTCCTAGCAGTAAGAACTTGTGGCTTGGCTTCTTCTATTTCTCTGATCTCTCAGTTTTCACCCCAATATTTGGCTCTGTGTTTTTTTTTTTTTTTATTAATAAGACTGTTTAGCAATGCATGTTGCAAGTGATCAAATTAAAGAGAACTTTATTCTGGGGAAAGAAGAAAGAAACAAAGCTTGGGGGCATATTAGTGGAAAAAAGATAAAATAGTAAGTCAACATGCCAACCAGAGAGAAATGTATAGTTACTTACCCGAATATAATTAGCATTAATGTAAGTACTCAATGCATCGGTTATATTTTTCGGTCTTAAACACACTCTGCTGAGGGGATCTAAGGAGGAAACCAGAGAGAACACATTGAGCAGAGGTACTTTTCAAAAAGTCTCTAGAGCAACCATAAGTAGCAGAGAGAAGGGAGTAAGTTCAAGGCTATTAACCCAGTGTCAGTGTTTGCCTTTGGTGTGCGTGAGTGTCCATCTCTTGATCTAGCTGTGATATTTGGCTCCCCGCACTGACTCCTGATTCTGACATAGGTCATGGCATGTTTTGATGGAGTTCTGATTCTTGTCTCCTTTCTCATTTGTCTCCCCTCTCTTTTTCTTTAGAGTTTGGATTTACAGCCCTACCTTTCTCCCACTCCTTCTGAAAAGAATCAGGCTGCCCTCATCCCAATTCTTTGTATTTCACTCCATCATCCGATCCAGCCCTTCAGGACCCAGTGTCCCTTGATTTAGTGAGATTGAAACATATGATATCAGGATGGGTGTGAGGATGGAGCAATTCAGGGGAAAAGGTTAAAAAACACAGTTCAACTTATCAAGCTTTCAGTCTGCTTATAAAAATAGCAAACATTATCGATCACTATTAAATATCACACTGCTCTCAGTGCTTTAGAGATCTTACATGATTTAACCCTTGAATCTATGAAACGTTCCCTTAGGTAGTGCCTACAACTCTTTCAGCATTTTCCAAACTGAAATAGAATCTTGGTTCACAGGGGCGGGCCTTCACTCAAAACACTACAAAACTTCCTGTGTGTTTTTGGATGTCCAGAAAGAAGCAGGATGACTGCAAAGATGCTCAGTGGACCCGTTAAGGAGTCAGGTGTGACCTGAGAGAGGGTAAGGAACTGGGGCTCAGCAACATGGACCTCTTTTGGGAGGTGGGCCTTTAGCACTTGTGGGAGTTTCTCTGAGGGATCATGATGGACAAATTATTCTGAAGCAAACTAGAGTAGAGGTGTGTGTGTGTGTGTGTGTGTGTGTGTGTGTGTGTGTGTGTGTGTGTGTGTGTGTTTGCTGGGAGTGTGTCCTATGGCAGCCTTATTAGCTAGAGCCCTCACAGGACAGTTTCTGTGGAGAAGTCACATGACTCTAATCATTTCAAACCATGCCATTGCCTCCAGTTCTTCTGAAATCATGCCATGTCTCTACATTTCCTACAACACTTGGTTAGGGGAAGACTGGCCTTTACTCACATAGGCCATTTCCACTCACTTTTGCATTCATCATGCTGCATTCACTTTAAAGAAAGTGTCTCCAAAATAGTGGAGGTAGCTAGGAGCATCTCCTCCTCACCAAGCTCAGTCTATCCATGTTGTATAAAAGTGTCGTGTTGCTCACAGTGTCACAGGACTTTCTGCTAGATTGCTTTTTATTCCTCCATCTTTTTCTCTTCTGTTTCTGAACTCCTATGAGCTACACTTTGACATCTGTCAACCGAAAAGATCCAAACTTTTTTTGCAGAACACAAGATAAAGAAACGGAAAGAGGACCCACGGAGGTATAAACAGCACTTGGTGACCAGGTTCCGTGAGTGGCAGCATGGGGGCGGGGTTTAACTGCTGGCCTTTGTGCAGAGCCCTTGAGCTTCTTGCTGAACATGATGTGCAGTCATCTGGGGTCAGTCATCTCCTGAAGCACACACACAAAAGCATGTATCTTCGTGTCCCACACCAGATGTGCAGACATACACCTCCAGATGTGTGCCAGTGCTACTAATCTCCTGGGATTCGCTCACCCTTCTTTCTTCGGTGACAAGATCCCAGGTTCTTGCTGGGAGTCTGGACGTTTGCACAGTGTGTAACTAGCTCCCTTCTTACCATCTCCTGCAGTTCGTTGTGGCTACACGACTCGGTTGTCATTTGTAAATGAAGAGTGATGTGTATGACGTCACTTTACGGTCATGGGAATAAAAAGAGAGGCAGTGATTTCCTTTTACTGCTTTTTATTTCTTTCCACTGCTTGGGACACTGTTGTGGTGATCACAGTCTTGGATTGTGAGAATACAAGCAGAACCTTAACCAGAGAGAAAGTTCTGGACACACAACATGGCAAGGCTGCCAGATCAACCAGGGAAGCTTCCACCTGAGTGGTAAATACATTTCCAACTTATTTTAACCAGTGATATTTTAGTTGTTTTTTAATAAATATGTGTTAGTAATATATTATAATTATAGTGAATAACATTCATATATAAAATATATGAATATATAAAATTTGTTTTAGAAGGATTAATATCGTCAGAATTCAGTTCTATATAGCTGTGTTCTGCATGTCTAGAATGTATGAATAAGTATAAGTTTCTTTCCTTAGACAGAAACTAAAGACACGGCCCTCATATTGAATAAGAACCAAGTTCTACAGAGACTAACAATTTTTTATCAATATAAGAAGTATTCCTTTCAGTTTAAAATGAAGCCCAAAGGCTCCATGATTTGGCCACTTGGACACCTACTGTGCTGACAGTGGCCTGGACAGTCCTAAATGGCTCAGTGTACTGATTCTTCCTCTTCTGTCTTGTAATAAACATACAGTCTACCTGCTGTAATGTCTAAATTCAGAAGAAATTATTTTTAGTTATTCTGTGTAGCCAGTAACCACAGGAAGCCATGAACCATACGTGGAAACTGAATATTTGACAAGCGGCTAGTAGGAACTGAGGAACTGAAGTTTTAATTTCATTTAATTTTATGGTTTAAATTGGGAAGTTACTTTGCCTCATTGCCAGCTACATTCCCATCTATACTGTATGATCTAGCTTGACAGCAAGGGCAATCTCTTGGAGACTTTAGGCATTTGTACATACTATCTCTTACACCTTCTTTACATGATAGCTCCTCATTCCTTGGGGCTCAGTCCTGCAAATGCACCTTTCAGAAGTACTGGCTTTCTCTGGGAAATGAAGTATCCACTTCCTGGCCTGGTTTTCTTGACTTTTATTTCAGCATTTGCCATTTTATATTCTAAGTGCTTACATTGCTACCTGCCTTTGATGGGTTGTGGCAAGACCCTTGAGGGAAGGGACCACGTTTGACTCACTTCTATGTTGTTTATGATTTCCATTTGATACTTAGTTCCTAAAGAGTCCATTTTTAGTAGCTGTTATTTATACCTGACTCCTGCTTATTCATTCTCTTGTGTAGATACACTAACATTTACAGATCCTCATGTTGGTTGACGGGCATGTGTGTTGTTTCTATTTTTTAGTTAGATGAACTATACTGCTATTAATATTTAATGTACAATTTTGGGTGAACTTACCTTATTATTTGGGTCATATATATAATAACTACATATATAATATATGTAATAACTTTTTTTGCTGTGGTGAGGGGAAACAAGGCTAAGGTCTTGTGACATTAGGCAAACCCTCTAAAATGAGCTGTATCCCCAAGACCCATCAAGCCTTAACTGTTGAGGAACTGCAGATTAAGCAGCTACTCTGTAGTCTTGCTAGCAACATTTAAAGGTTCCAATTTCTCTACATCCTTGTCAACATTTTATTGTGTATTCTTATCGTAATGATAATCATGGTGGATAGGAAGTGATGTCTCTCTTTGCTTCTGAGTTCTCTGATGGATAATAATGTTCATTATCTTTGATGCTTATTAGTCAGCTGTATGCCTTCTAAAAGGAGTTTCTAGTCAAGCACTTACCCTATTTTGAAAACTGCTTTGTTCTTTGTATATATATGATTTCAGGGCTGATCTTTTGGTAATAGATAACCAATTGGGGAGCTCTTCCCTGGGGAAGACTGTTTTTCCTGCTCTCAGCATTCCTTAGCTACCTCTGGTTCTTTGCCTAAGGTTAGGACTTCATGAGATTATCTATTAGTACTGTCTTAACATTATATGGACTGAACAGGCCATATTTATATATTAGGAATGTACATAAATATGTATGATATATATGTACATACACCATATAATATATATGCATATATACTATAGAATATATATGCATGTGTGTTGTATATAATATATGTGAACACACAAAGAAAAAAGACATCACGAGTCTGAGGGAGAGCAAGGCAGACTAATGGGAAGGGTAGGGGGAGGAAAGGGAAGGGAGAAAGTGATGTAGTTATATCTTAATTTCAAAAAATAAAAAAAAATATTAAATCCCAAAAAATTGCTTTGCTGTCTTTAATATTGAGCTGTTAGACTATGTTTTAGATTGTGTATATAAGTCTCTTATCAAATGTTTGTTTTGTAACTATTGTCCCATTCTGTGGGTTATATTTTACTTTTTTTATGATGACATTTGAAACGTAAAACTTTAGTGTTCCAATGAAGCGCATCCCATTTGTTTTTTGGTGGCTTGTACTCTCGGTGTCATCTAAGTAACTGTTCGCTACGTCAAGCTTCTGAGAATCTGTGCTTTCTCTCTCTTTCTTGTTTAGCTCCTATCTGCAGGCAAGTATCTGAATTAATTTTTATATATGGTCCAAGGCAGGATTCAACTTCTTTTTCCTTCATGCTTGGAATTATTTAACTCTACGACAAAAATCAGCTTACCCATGATGTGTGGTGCAATGGTGCTTTAGAACCATGGATCTTCTGGAATTGTGAGCTGGTCATTATGATGAACGTAACATGAAATAAAGTTATTCTACCTCAGATAACTTTAGTGGTGACTAGTCTTGACCTACATATTTCAACTCTAAGTTTAGTGTCTATTAGGTGTTATGAGGGTTGGAAAGGGTGATGTGGAAATGAATGGGCGACATGGTTTTACAGGGCAAGCTATTAGCTCAAGAAACTTACTCGGCAAAATGGTCTTATAACGATTTTTTGTTCCATGACGTGGAATATCAATTTCTTTGGGATCCACAAAGTTCATTGGTATTTCCTGCAAAAATAAATGATATCAAATTGTGTATCTAATGCTGACGCAAAGAAAATCTTCACAGGGGGCATTGGCTCCGTGATCTTCAGAGTCATTTATAAAACAACAGACTACCAACATCTTTCCTTTCATAAATAGGCAAAATGCAGCCTGTGTGCTGACTTCTAAGAGGCATCCCTGTGTGTTTGGAAGTACTATTTTTGTATGTAGTTACTACAGAGACAGAAAACACACTGCTTGGATAGTAAGTGTTGCTGTGATATCACTTAGGAAAATACTTTTTAAAAACGCAATATATTCGCCTTTCTTCAAAAAGCTTTTGTAAGATCAGCAAAAATTTCAGTCTTTTAATATCAGTTGTGATTCTTTTAGAATTGTTAAAAATTCCCTCTGAAAGTGATAAAGTGTGGAAGGATTGTGGAATTGTATTGTTGTGTTGATCCATGTGCTGAAATGTTTTTAAGTTAAGAGCTCTTTTATAATTTCAGTGTTTCGTTTGTGGCTATAAACAGAATACGTTTGAGAAAAGGGATCCACTTTTCTCCTGCTTAAGGAGAATAGAATATTCTTATCTAGGAAGAATATTTATCACATGACTCAAATCATCAAAGAGGGAAGAGTTAGGACGGAAGTGGCTCTATGCCCACCCGTGAGACCTAAAACTGAGAGTATTCTTATATGACTGAACTCAAGTAACGAGCAAGAATTTTCTAAAGGGCATCGGCAAATATTTTAAGATTTGCTTATAAACATACATTATTTCTTAACATAAAGTTCTTAAAAGGACTGAAAAAAATCAAGGTGATATGAAATAAAATGACTGTTGTGTTATTTGGTGACTAACGAACATTAAATCCTCCCATCTTATAAAATATCTTTGTCTTACATTGTTTTCATGCATACATATAATGTACTTTGACCACACTCACTGCCTCCTAGTTTTACAAGTTTCCTTTGTTCCAGTTTTTTTTGGAAAAATACCAACAAGGAAATGAGGGAGCTCATCCAGAGCTTCACTCAAGTTGTCTCCATACTCTGCCACTCGGAAAACTCCAGGAGGGCCAGGCTCTATCATGAACTGAAAACTTGGTTACAGAGAAGAGCACCTCTCTTTGAAAAGAGTCACTTCATTAATTTTTGTTATTTTAGACATTGAAGGGAGTCTCTACTCCATTGAAACATTTAAGTTTCTTAGTTCCAAGTCATGAAAATAAAGTTGTTGAATATTCAAGAGAAAGCGTTTCTTTTCTTTTCTCTTTTTTTGAGGCAAGATCTCATGTAGCCTTGGCTTACCTCCAAGTGGCTGTGGAGCTAAGGGTGACCCTGGACTTCTGATCCACCTTCCTCTACTTTGAGTGGCATGCACGACTATTTCAGGTTTCTGTGGTTCTGGGGACCAAACTCAAGGTTTCATGTAGGCTAGGCAAGCACTCTGCCAACTAACGCAACTCCCCAGTCCACGTGCTCATTTTTGATCATTTTAAAAAGTCAGTCTGCTTTGACAATGCCCCAGAGAAAGTGACATTTTTATGGCCTCCTTTCTCTTTCACTTTACTCTGTTTTCTGACACACATTGACAATCTGTCAGGATCTCACATTGTTGCTCTCCTTGTTGACCTCATCTTTCCTTCCAGGGAAGCCGGCTATGTCAAAGGCTTTTTCATAAACAAAGACCTATTGTCAGCCCCAGAACAGGCACTAGATGTCTTTGCTAGGCAGTGCGACCATTAATGGGTTCTGTCATCTCTGGGTCTCATTTGCTTCACATATAAAAACATGACACACTAGGATGTCTCATTTTTAAAACTCCACATTGGTATTTTACTTTGGAAGCTTGATGACAGTTGGTCTCATTAATAGCGAGGTTAGCAGATTACTGATACTTCTCAACTAGTCTGGTTCCAGATATCTGAACTGACCACAGGACCATCTATTTATTATACTTAATCACTATAGCTCAAGCTGTGTAACTGCTTCGCGATGTAAAGTCATCTAAGTGAGTACTCCCTCAGGCAGTACCTAGAAAGTAGACTCTGACTCTGTTCTCCGTGTGTAACATCTTACCGTACATTACGTTACCCGATGCAATACTGATTTTCCAAAACTGAATGTCATACAGCACTCACCATCCTTTGAATCCCACACTTGATCTTTCTTGAATCGTTGCCCAAGTTAAAAAAGCGATAAACAAAACAAAACAAAACCCTTGAGTACTGTCCATTTCTTTTGGCCACCTCATTTCATGAAACAAACATTTTGCTCAGTGCTATGGATTCTCTCAATTTCTCTGAGCATATTTTTAGTGTTGACACATTCTGAGTTCTGGTTTCCATGGAATTACCTGCAGAGTCTCCAGTCTGCTCCTGTCTAGGACCTGCAGATGCAGTGGCTTTTCTAAAGTAAGGCTAAGTCCTATTCCTAAACACGTATTAAAATTTGTGGGTTTTTTTTTTCCTTTCTTTTGTTTCTGGGGCTCAACTTTTGCCACTCTCCATTTTGATTTCAGTGCTCCAGGAAACCTGAACGATTCAGTTGCCCACAATCACAGAACGGCTGTTTCCTAAGCTCGAAATGCCTTTCTCTGCCCGACTTTCCAGTGCCACCGCTGACTCTTACCGACTCTGAGTCAGTTAAGAATTGTGTCATCGCCTGAACCATCGATCAACGGGTGAGGAGGCGGCTGGTGACTCTAAAGCCATGGCTCGTTACCGTTTGCCTCACAACCGTTTGCCCACAGTGAGCTGCCTGAGAGAGGGCAGCACCATTTCCAGCTCTAGTGCTGAGAACATTAAAACTGAGTAAGAAAGAGCAGACTCACCATGAATTCACTTTGAAGTAAGTGGGAACTTGCCACAACGTCCCTCAGCTGTGGCCTTGTGAGGATGCGGCTGGCCGACTGCAGGTACTCCATGGCTATCTTCTCCCGGGGGGTTGGGACGGCCACAAAAGGTTCCACATTCCCCAGGCTACTCATGTCCAGTGTAAGAGAGACATTGGAACCTCGTCTACAGGGGGGAAAAGAATGTTATCGCATTTAGATATTACATGTATTACTTTGATCATACAGACTGTCTTTTTTGCACGAGGACACAGTTCAATGATATCTTTCCAGAAACAAAGGTATATCTATATCTATATCTATATCTATATCTATATCTATAACTATATTTGGTATCATGACTGACTACAGCAAGTCTTCATAGTTTATAGGAAACTGGCAATTTTATTGCTGCAAACAATTCTGAATTGAGAACAGGTACTGTAAGTTATTAGTAAACATACTTGTTGAAGAAATAAGATGGTTAATAATTTTAACTAAAAAAATCAGAAAAAGTCAACACATTTAAATTGAAAAATCATGGGTAATACAAAAGAACATGTATTTTTGTGTATGTCTGAGAGTTCAAAATATATATCATAGTCATTAAATGCTTTACCCATTTTCACAATGTGGTTATACTTCAAAATAGCATGTACTATACCATAAACAAACATGCCTTTGATTGATTAATTAAAACATAATAAAATTAAAATAGCAGTCTCTACTATAGTTCAAATGATTGCACTGATACAGAATGTAAATGTTTTAAAATGTACGCATGTACATAAATGTATGTACTGTAACTTTACAGGAAGTATGGTGGTGCATACCTGAAATTCTGGAGGCTGGGAGATCAGAGGCAAGAGGATCAGGAGTTCAAGGCCATTCTCGGTTACATGAGTTTGAGGCCAACCCAGGCTACACACAACTATCTCAAAAACAAGCAAACAGGAACCAAATCAAACAAATTGAAAACAACTTTGTATTTTATATCTGCACATATATATGTACATATGTATATATGTTATTCATTTAATTTTGTAAAGCCTGTAAGAGGCCCTGGAGATCACAGACCTATAGGCTAAGTTTCAGTTTATCGTTTCTTTATGATTCCTTTTCTTCTTTTGGGAAGTAATGACTGGAGTCCTGCCCTTTCCAGGGACCCTGGCGTTCTGTGCAGAAGATGTAAGCCCCTCTTAGCAGTTACATTAGCCATGTGACACACAGCCATAAAAGAGCGTATGACAACGAGTGGCTGAATCACTGTTCCTCTAAAACCACATTTGAGAAAAAGAGGTTTAAAGTCAAAGACTTGACTGTAAGTGAGACTACAAAGGTGTGTGTCAGGGTGTTAAAAAGAGTGTCAGGGTGGGGGTCTGGTGTCCCACAGAAGTGGAGAGCAGGGAGCAGCAGGTCAAAACATGATAGGAAAGACAGTAAGGCAGGTCTGAGCCTAGATCAGTTCCTCTGAATAGTGGACAACACACCAGAAAAGAGTTGAGCGGCGGGGCCTCCATTTTAAATAATGGAAAATACGCAACCAGAGAAACCTACTGAACAGTCATCCTCCATCAGTTCCTCACGCTCTTGTTTCTGCTGTGGATACAGCATTGGGGCTTGTCTACCGTCTGATAGGTAATATGATTTTTTTACTCTCGAAATGGATGGCAATGGTAGTTTTAATTCCCGTTTTTGCTTAATGGATATTTATTTTTATTTCTTTTTATCTGTCACTAAATGATACACTTGAAAAAGTCACCACAGTTTGAGGGGTTTGTTTTAATTGTTGCCGAGCTAGCTGGAGTTCTGAAGCCAGTGTTGAAGAAGGGTTAGGACGCTGCTCTTAGGAGCACCTTTCCTGGGGCTGACACGACTAGCTCTTTGGCAGAGCTGCACAATCTACGCTATTTTAAGAATTGCTGGGCAGTGGTGGCGCATGCCTTTAATCCCAGCACTCGGGAGGCAGAGGCAGGCGGATCTCTGTGAGTTCGAGGCCAGCCTGGTCTACAAAGTGAGTTCCAGGAAAGGCACAAAACTACACAGAGAAACCCTGTCTCGGAAAAAAAAAAAAAAAAAAAAAAAAAAAAAAAGAATTAATTCGTTAGGCTGGCTTACAAAGCAAGGGCCTTCATCGTGGTATCCTCATACATGTGTGCCCTTAAACTGCTTCATTTGACCCCCTCCCCCATTGAACTCTCCTGGTGTGCCTCGCGTTAGTCCCCCCCACCCCTAAACCCCCACCCCAGTTAATCCAGCACTCTGCCTTGCTGCGTTAAGTATCCCATTACTCTATTTCCCACCTCCCTCAAGAGAATTTGATGGTCATATAAGTGCTTAAGCATTTCTTTTCTTTATTCATGTCTATCGTAGGTCGTGGGAATTGGAAGTGTCTGAACTATTTAGGGTTTATGAGTTCTCAATTCTTTCAAAGAAACACTGGACTGACTGGATATTTCACATATGCATTTGCTGGTCACTGTGATTATATATATGTAAGTCCTCTCTGGGAGGACATGTAGCCCTGTGCATCTCCTTATCTATTGCAGATTCATATACTGTAATCTTGGTATTCTAGCACACTGTTTTTTTTACTCTATCCATACTGGACTTTTCACCATCTGATGTGTGTGTGTGTGAGCCTTTCACAATAACAGCATACAGTTTTCTTTCATTTCAAATGTTTTACCTTAAATACTTCAGTGCTTGAAGGATTCATCATCATATATCTTCGCTGTCAGGCTTACCAATGTTTCTTTCTTTCCTGTACTTGGATATTTAGCTTTCTCTCTGACTCTTAAAAAAAAATTAATATCAAAGTCCTAAGGAGATGGCTCAGCAGGTAAAGGGCCTGCAGGAGGACTTGAGTTCAGATGCCCAGGAATCATGATAAAAAGGCCAGGTATGGCAGCAGGCATCTGTAACCCAAGCACTGGCAGCCAGTGGGAGACCATTAGAGACAGGCGGATTCCTGGGGTTCATTGGCTAGTCAGCCTAGCCAAACCCTTAAGCTTCCGGTTCAGTAAGAGACCCTGACTCAAAAATTGAAGGGAGCAGGGAGTGAAGAATCCGCTCGGCGGCATTACCCTCCTGCCTGCACACGCATGCATGTGCATAGACAATCGATATCGATGTGGCTTATTATTTATTGGCGTGCCCCTGAAATACATTTTCTCATTCTACCATTATTATTAACTCGTTGGGGTTGCTGGGGTAGAAAGAGATGGGCAGCACCCTGAATGTTCTGTGACATATTACCTATTTGGTAGAGAGGTGTATGTGCGCCTAGCTTTTTTGTTTGGGGCTCTTATTGTTGACCGAAATATTTGATTTCTTGTGTTTCTAGGTAGGAAATAGACAGAGTAGCAAAGAATGGTTCTGCTTTTAGGCCAAGAATTTAATCTATTTTTAGTGAGAAACTGTTTTTTAAAGTTTTTTTTCAATCCAGTGGTACTTGCCTTTAATTTTGTAGGAAATCCTGGTTCTGATTATGGTTTGTTTTAGTTTTAGTGTTTTGTGAGAATTTGACTTTTGCTGTCTTTTTTTCTAATTTTTATGTATTTATTTTCTCAGAAAGGAGTCTGGAGATGTTGTTTCTGGATTACCAGCTAGAGGCCACTTGAAAGCACAATTTCATTCAATTTTCATTCACAATAGACAGTGTCTACAGTCTGTCACTAGGGAGACACCCTGAGCTGCCGAGGTTTAGCAGATGGTGAGGTCTCCTCCACTTATGCAGGGCAGCTGTGCGGAGGAGGGGATCATTTGAACTGGACCCTGGTCATTTCAGAGACAGCCTCGAAGGAGAAATGAATGGTATGGGAGCAGAACGTGGAAGAAGACTTTGAGAGAAAGAGCAGTCAGGGCTGCAGCTCAGCTGTGCAAAATGTATTTTGGAGTCAGGAGCTGGTTTTGCCGGGGAGATGAGGTGGGAGGCAAGAGCTGTGGAAACCACATGGCTATCAGAAGCTGCCTAAGTTCATCAGAGAGAGTCATGACATCGACATAGATGCCTACCAACTTTTGTTTGGCGTCTCTCACACACCCTGCCCACACCTGGAGATCCACAGCCTCTCAGATCCCAAGTCTAAGTCTTTGATGAGAGTTTTCTGAATTGTCTGTAGTCAGCTGAGAGCTGTGAAACCCCTCAATAAGGGAGACCAGCTTTGGTTTAGCAAGAGAAAGAAGAAAGAAACCCAATATATTAAATTTCTGTTAATTTGTCAACTACTGTTACATAGCATTTTTGCCTTTGGAAGTACTGTTTTCCCTTATTTTATAGGTCAAAAAAAAATACCCATATTTGAAACACAGTTGTTGAACAAAGACAATTCAAGTTATAATATAAAGTACAAGCTCTTTTTGCTTTGCCTCCCAAAGTGAGAGTGTGTTAGCAGATTATGTTAGATTGTATGTGGAGTTGAAAGTCAAGTGCTTGGAAAGGGGGAGGAACCAAGAACAGTATTCAAATACAGATTTTTGTCTTCAAAGCATTTTTGTGTGGGCTCAAATCTTGCCTGTCCATATCCTCGATGTGCCCTTCTTAAGGTTACTTAGCTTCTCTGCATCTCAGCTTTTTTTTTTCTGTCTCTTTAAAGTGAATAAATGTTCAAGTAAACGTACTTACAGAGTTACTATACAGGCAACATATAAAGAATGATGTCAGTGGCTTATAAAAAGTAACGCATGGGCATTATTAAATTTGGTCAACAATGAACAAAATCCTTTCTAACTCTCACTTTTGGCATTTCTCTAAGGGAACTATTTTAGGACACTTCCATAAGAATTGCAAATTGTTTGGATTGAGATTAACTTGAATGCTTTGAAATCAATGGCTATAACCTACACATTTAACACTAAAAAAAGATACAGCTTGGTGGTAGCCTATTTCCTTAGAAGTTCCCTTTATTATGGCAAACCCGTTTGCCCTGAAAACTAGACAATCCCATAGCACTTCACCTCATCACCTCCGACAATGTCTCAAAGTTCAACTATAGAATTAAACTTGCACTGGCTGTTGACCTCACAAAGAGCATTTTCCACAGAGCAGTCTTATCGTGGTGACGGCTCCCCCATGCTTGACGTAAAATACGATGGTAGGATGTTGTTAACTTGGGAAAAATCTCTGCTTTTGTTAATTCTTATTTTTAAAGAACAAACAATATTGATTGATTGATACGGTGCCAT